CGCAGGTGACCTCCTGTGCCCAGGAATGCCTGGGATGGTTTGTACCATCATAAAACATCCCCAGCATCCCAGCAAAGGTGAGTCCTGCCCATGGATCAAAGGAGGAAATTCCCATTTCTGGCTCCATGGGTGACCTGGGTTGGGGTTGAGCTTTGATTTCCTTGTCCAGGTGGCTCCATTCGCTGGATGGTGCTGATGGAGGGAGAGACACTGCTGCACCCAGAGGCTTTCACAGGATCAGCTGGACATCGGTCACTCATCAGCATGGGGAGGAAGGAGATCCCTGCCCTGCCAGAGGATGAGCACACACGTTACTGGATACAGGCAGCCCTTTCCTTTCCAGCAGGTATGGATTTTCCACCACCCCTTCTGATGCGGAGAGGACACAGGGGGAGCTTCTGACCCAAACTGCTCCAGTTCTACACTACCCAGAGCAGGCATACCCCCAGACACCATCCTCTGCCTCTCCTTGCTAAGGAAGGTGGGTTTGGTACAGTGGTTGCCATCAGGCTGTTATTCCTGGTTATCCAGGAAAATCCCAAATACAGCTCTATTCTGCCTTGAAAGTGCTTAGAAGTGGGTGCAGCGGGGCTGGGAGAAACCCCTGCCTGAAAGCGCTTCCACTAAAGCTGTTGAGACACACGAGATACCAAGAGAGGCAGAAAGAAGCAAACTCATCCTTGTGTCTTCCTAAGCTCCCTTTCCAAGTGTCCCAGCAGCAAAGAACTTCTGTTGCTGCGCACGTTTGGATATGAACTGGGACAGGAGGATTCTCATGAATGTAAAGGTTGTCAGGAAGGAACCTGTGGCTCCTCTCTGGTTTTCTGGGGTGTTTTTGATAGGACTGACCTTTGGAAGTGGAGTTCTCTGATGCCAGAGGTATTTCTGATACCTCCCATATTGATACCATCATAGAACCCCAGACCAGTTTGTGTTGTCCCCTCCAGAGGCTGGGTGAAATAGTCTGGGCCAGGAGAGCAGGTCCCAGATGAGAATGGTGAGAGCATCACATGAGACTGTGTGAGCAGGACCCCCAACAGATGGACCAGAAACACACCCAGCACCTCAGAGGGCATCAGCAGATGCTGAAGCCATCAGTGCCCATTTGGAGAGGGGACAGTTCCCCACCGTGCCCACTCCCCCTGTTCTCATCAGTCTCACATCTCAGCTGCACACCCTAACCCTCAGCCTCCTTCGCCCAGATCCATCCCATTTCCACCTCCATGAGCTGCTCTGGGCCCAGCATTCCCAGTCTATGGTTTTGCTCCATGACTGCCCAGCAGGATGGGAGAGCACAGTGGCTGGAAGGGGGTTCAGTGTCTGGGTCTGGTGCTGTGACCTGCAGGCAGGGACTGGGTCCCCTCCTGTCCCTGCGCACGTGGCTGCCACCGCTGTGCGGTTCCAGGGCAAGGAAGAGCTCCCAGGGGTTATAGAGGAGCTGGACCCAAAGTGCTTGAGAAATCAGGTGCTCCATGCACACCAATGTGAAAAGCAGAGGTGACAACAGCAGAGGAAGTCAGGTGCTCTGTGCCAACAGGATTTTAACCCCCCTCCTCTGAGGATACATCTGCAGCCCCGGAGTGTGAGACTGAGCAAGCTGCTCTAGTGGAAGGTGGCCCTATCCATGGCAGGGGGCTAGAACTGGATGAGCTTTAAGGTCGCTTCCAACCCAACCCATTCCACGATGCTTCTATGATCCCAGCAGGACACAAACCAGCCCCACATACCCCAGGGAGCATCCACTTCCACCCCAGCTCTGCCCACTTCCAGAAGGCTGAATCCCAAAGCACCGGGGGATAACCTGCTTTTAAAAGTAGTTTATTTGGATTTTCCACATCCTTTAATGAGTCGCAAACAAATGAACAGAAAAGATTTTGGTTTTTTTCCCTAACATCGTACAATTTTTGAAATAAAAAGTCAAGAAAAGCCAAAAAAAAATAAAAAGGGGGAAAAGGACAACGGCCGTTGTTCCAATGGAAACAGGACGCTCCGCACCCACACTCTGCACCTCTTCAGTGGTGTGGCAGAAGAAGATGATAGCTCCCTAATTTGTTTCAGAGAACACACTTGCTCCAACCTGGCTGCCTTCATGCTCCTCCTCCTCTTCCCTGTCCCTCTACAGAGAGCAAGTTCTATTGAGTGAAGCCCAAGTTCACCTGGTGAGAAGGGAGAATCAAGCATGGACTGGATGGTACCCAAGGGGGAAGAACCACCACTGTAAGGTCTGATGTACGCCTAAAGCAAGGGCTCTTTTCCAGTTGTACATCTACCAGGTAGCACAGATTCCCCTTTACCATCCCAGGGGAATGTGGAGCTGTTTTGAGGGTGCTGAGGAATTTTACTACAATTTGTAGAGAACCAAAGGGAAAAAGGCACCTCATTCCCTGGATCTCTGGGCTCAGTTTCAACAAGTGCTTGTTACAGGAAAGGCTGGAGAGTAGCATGTGCTGACTCCCAGTTTTTGGTTTGAAAGGATGTTTGGGACCAAAAGGAAGCCAATGAAGGTGGGAACGGGTGACGCTCAGCCCAGCCCTGACACCGAGGGTGCAGTGGACATGCTGGGGTTGGGTGGGAAAACCATGCCAGGAAAGGCATGGGATGCTCTTGGGCCATCCAAGCCCCTTCCTTCCCCAAGGCAAGGGAAGGGCTGTGGCCAGAAAAATCCATTGCAACTTGTCATGATTTTCATGTTCATCAAAAGCTTCCAGCCCCAGCCTGATTAGAACAATGGGGCAGAGGCACAAAGCTCCCTTACTGTCATTCCTCGGGTTTTAGCAATTCCTTTTCATGCTGTTTAGTGGGGTTTAAGCCTCTTTTTCACTGCTTCTCCTCCTTCTTCAAAACATAAATCAGAGAATTCCCTTTTTGCTCAGCCCTTCAGGCTTATTTTCCAAACCATGAAGTGGCCCTATGGTTCCTGACCAAAAAGGATGTGACAAAAAGAGATGCCTCATGCAAGACAAGGCCAGTTCTAAAGCTAAAAGGCCCCTAAAAATCAATCCATTAAATAAAGACTGATCACAACCAAGATGTTGCTATGAAATTTGTATCATTCCCAATTTATTAGGCATAAGTTGCTCTTTAAAACTGCTCATATCATACACGTTCTGCATCATCACTGATGAAGGGCACCGATTGTTGCTGCGGAGAAAGATCATTTTGGACTTGGTGAAGCAGCCTCTGGCCAAGAGGAAAGTGGTTCTAGAGCAAGATCTGAAAGAACACCTTAAAATAAAGGAGAAAGACAGAAAACTGCACATTTTTGCTTGGACCACACTTCCCAAAAGGGTTTCTGAGTGATGCTCATCTTCAACAGTGAGGTGATGGATTTGACAAAGGTTCTGATCTGCTTAAGGCTTCCATGGTCTTCCCACTCTCTGCTCAGAAACACACTGTCATGCTGGGTTAAGGGGTGGATGGTTCTCACTAGGTGCAGCTATGCTGCTCTTTCATTGTGCCCTTTAGTTTTACTCTTAAAAGGAGAAGAACAAGTGAAGGGGTCTCTGAGAAATGAACAAGATGGTGCAGACTGGGTGCTTGGAAGTACAAAAGTAAACCCTGCCCTTTCAGAACCGAGGTGAATAAATTAACTCTTGGTTAGAACACAAAAGCATTTCATCAAAGCTTTGATTCTCCACTGGGATCCTCCCGCTACATTTCCACTCTAAGCAGGGACAACGGGATGCTTCACATGGTGGGACACGCTCCTGAGCACGTGCTTTGTGTTTGCTCACTGGAGCCACCGCAGCTTTAAGGTTATTTACATCCCCTGGCATTTAAGTTACAAGATGCAAAAGTCTTTTAACCGCCTGCGTTTGTCGACACTGTCCTTGGAAATGAGGTTCAGCACTCTGCTTACCAAGAAAGAACCAAACTAAGACACAGCTCTGGGAAAAGAACAAGACACTGCTCCATTAGTACTATCCCCGCATCTACTGGCTTCGGTACAGCAAACCAAGTCTTTCTTCCATGATATTTTTCCAGCAAAGGGGAGTCCAAAAATAGCATTTCCTCCTCAGTCACTTTCATAAGTGGTAAGAGCCAACAAGTCAGACTCAGTAGCAGCTGAATATTGCACTGCCATTAACTCTGTGTACAGCTGAAGTCGGAGAGGCGTACTCGTGGTGTTGGGAGAATAATGACAATGCTGGCTCAGTGATGTGAAGACCCAGGATGCGAAGGAAGGGGAGAACACAACAGTACCAGTCACACACTCAAGCCCAGATACTGGCTTTTAGAGGTTAAAATTCATCACTCTCAACTGCGTGGAGCTGTGTGTCATCTGCATCCGTCATGCTGCTCTCTTGGGATTCATCTGTGCCAGCTGGAGAGAAAGAAACAGGCAAACATTACAGGGCTGCTGCACTCGGATTCCCCCAGGACCCACTCCCACAAAGCTTTGGGCTTCCCCTCCGAATGCTTTAAAGGCATGTAGCTTTTCCCCTTTTCCTTCTCGTACATTAACCCCTGAGAGCACGACCAAGTCTAAATGCTCTTTGAAAGGAATTCACACAAAGTCCATATTAACAAACCTCATTGCAAATCCCCACTATGAAGGTGTTTCATGGACAAACACAGGTGCCTTTTATGGCTTTCACTCAAATGCTTCTGTACCACAGACACAGCCAGCCCCACGCCAGGAAGTGAAGGCACAAACTGACTTACACCAGCCAATGTATCAGAAACAATTCTCCCCACCCCCAGCACTACCTTAACTTACTTTAGGTTGTCTCATGTGTCCTAAGAGAGCTATTGAGCCCGGTCTGTGAAACTCGTCTGCAGTTTAGAGAATCCCAGCCTGGTTTGGGTTGAAGGGACCCTAAAGCTCCTCCAGCTCCAACCCCTGCCACAGGCAGGGACCCCTTCCACTAGAGCAGCTTGCTCCAAGCAAGCCCCTGTGTCCAACCTGGCCTTGAGCACTGCCAGGGATGGGGCAGCCACAGCTTCTCACAGACAGCCTGATCCCGTTTTACTTTGCTTATTGGGCAGATGAAGTTGGTTTTTTTTCAGTCCTGGTTTAGGTGTCCCTTGGCAGCTCGGGTACTCTGTCTCCATCTCCTGGCCAGAAACATGTTCAGCCCCAGCGAGCAGCATTCTAAGTAGCCCAACTACAGCAGCAGGGGGAGAAAACCCTGCTGACGCTTCAGGAAGTGCAGGGTAAATCTTCCTGTATTAAATTGCTTCTCAGTATTTATTTTCTATTACTACCTCAGTCTGCATCGAAGAGGTCAATAGTTATTACTATCCCCATTTCACGTAGCTACCCTTGCTTCATGGAATCTAAGCTCATAATAAAAAGCCAGAGCGAAACCCTAGCCACTCCTCTTCATGGATTATTCCCAAGTAGGACACTGGGAGTGTTTTATTTTCTCTCTCTTCAAATGAAGCCACTTCCATGACTTCTGTCAAGAGCTTCCTTTCACGCTTAGCAGGCCAAATGTTTTTACCCAACACCCAGTTTAACTTTGGACAAAGCCTCTACAGACAATTTCAGTTGCCATTCAGTCACCTTGAAATGATTTGAAGCTTCTACAAGGGAAGATGTGCAGCTCTGTGAACATTTTGCTCTCCTAGGATACTGTCAGCCAACCCTGAATTTATTGCATTTGTTATCTCTGTCCTACTCCATCTACACATTCTAAAGATCCTTTATTTCATGCTTACTGTAGGAAGAATGAATGAATTGCAAGTGAAGAGCCTCTGGAGTTCCTGCCAAGCAGCAGGAGCACTGTTCCACCTATTAACCCTGGGATTCTATGAAAGCTGAAATACCTCCTTGCATGAGAAAGGGCTGGAAATACAAACCTGATTCATAGGGGTAACATTCACTGATTTGCTCTTCTTGAGTTATTGGTTCTTCATCATCTGGAAGGTAACGCTTATCGATTGCCTCTTTAATCTGGTTATTGGCTCCTTTGGGGTCTAAGTCCATTGCCCATGAGAAATTCATTAGGGCCAAATGTGTTTGACCCAGTTTCTTATAAACCTAAAATAAAAGCATAAAAGGCTACACTTACATGGAGCTGCGACTTGAGGTTTTGGACAACAAACATAAGAGGCCACAAGTAACTGATACTTCATGAAAACCATAAGGCTTATGGTTATCTTTAAGAGGGTAGAGATGAAAGATTTATCAAGTCCCAAGGGAAACAGCAAGTATGTGTAGAAAGAGTGAGCAAGTGTTTCTATTTAAGACCCAAAATTAAACTGGCAGCTGACATTCAAAACCATAAAGAGGTGGATCTTGAAATAGAAATGAAGCTGCAGCAAGGTGGGGTTAAAGCTGCACATGCCTTGTCTTGGCCCTTCACCACGCTTGCTTTCTTGAGTCATGGTAACCCCCAAATCTACCTGTGGCTCAGGAAAAGTCCAAAGTCGAGGCTTCTAATGCCAGAGGCCCAGAGGACAGTCTGGGGAAGCATCACCATGTGCACACATGAATCCTGCACTCTCCCCTATAGCTCTCATTGAGCACTGGCAAAGGCAGGACCCATGGTTTGACTTGGCACAGCCATTCTTACATCCTCGTTTTAGCTCTCATTGGCAGGTGGGGAAAACAACAGGCCAAGAAGTGGCCCCTTGCTTGTCCTGCTAAACTGAAGAGCAGCTCTTCAAGACAACCCTGCTCTGCAGATTCCAGCCCACATTTTGCTGTAACCTTCCCTGAAGCTCTCCTTATCATAAAGGACAGATGAGCAAGTGCTTTATCTGTGGCAAGCATGTTAACAGTGAAAGTCCTTAACTTTGTCAAGACATGGCAACTGTCATGGCAATGTGGAGGTCCAGCTGCTCCTGACAGTTACCAGCCAACAAAGTCCAGCACAAATCCTTTCACCTCTCCATCCTGCAGATGAAGAGCTCCCCACTCCTGTGCTAGAGGCAAGTTTGTCCTGTTGCTTCCTAGTGAGCAGACACCCCACGGAAGAAAGCTGCAGACCATACTTAAAGCATATTAGCAGAGAAGACTGTGAGGAAGAGGATTTCTATTCCTGGATTACTTTTCTCTGGCATTAAACACAAAGGCTGGAATGCAAACACAGCTGACAAGCTGGTAATATCTTTTCCTGTGCTAGCCTACTCCATTAGCTTCATCAGAGGCTCCTCTGCCTGTCAAACAGATAACCTTCTACAGCAATTTAGGGAGACTATCAGCTGAAAAGAACACTGAGGCTCTTGGTGGAGCCTCTGGAGCGTGCCACAATACCTCCTTGCTCAGCATTTCTAACACATTAGAATGTGACTGAACATCCTGGTAGCTACACACACACATAAACAACACTGCTGCCTGATGGATGGACTGTCCCTCAATGTTCTAAGGATTTCCACTGATCACACTGTTGCTGTTGTATCGAATCAAGTCCTAATAAAGTCCCACTTTCAGAGACAGATTCTGGCTGTGTGCATAACCACTGCATGAAGTCCCTTCACCAGGATCAAGTCTTGCTTTTAAAAATCATTCTCTTTCAAGTTGACAGTGGTGAAATCAAAGCAGGTAAAGAACAACATTGGCTTGGGCTGGTTGTTTTGTTTGTTTAAAATAGAGCTGAAGGCTGCCCCAGTAATAACTGGCTTCTGCATTTAAAAGCTACTACATAATAAAGCTGTGAGCAGTCAGCCTTATTTAAAGCTTTGGGAATTTTTAGAACACTGCTCCAAATGGAAGCGGCTTAGTGACAGGCATCATGTTTTCTCATCAGGCACACATCTCTGCAACACAGGAAACCACCACGGTTGTGATCCCAGTCAAGTTTTCCTTACCTTTCCTATTAAAAAGTAAACAAGAGACTCTTTGGGAACAATCTGTTTCAGTTCTTCAAGTTCTTGTAAAGCAGACTGAAAAGGAAGCAAAAAGAGCTTAGGAAGTACAAGCTACCAGTCTGCAGCCAGTTACAACATCACTAACCTGGGACTTAGCACCAGTGTGGAAAAATCATCTTGACATTTCCACACAGCATATTCCATTAAGAACAGTACAGCCTCACGAGAACCATCTAAAGGCCCTTTACATTAGTTTCTTATTTAAAGATTGTAGCATATTATAGCCCTATTATTACAAAAATAGAGCAAGTTTACTGGGCTTTGGTCTCCTACAACACAGTATTTGTCCAAAATACTCAGTGAAACTTCTACTTTAATTGTTGATACTGGAGCAATTTCTGCTGCTGTGACAGTAATCTGGCATTATCAAGAAATTCAACCTAAGAAGTTGAACCTGCTCAATCTGCAGTTAGAAATGAACAATGGTTTTAGTTATAAAAAGTTGCATTCAACCCCCTAGAACTTATTCATGTGAAGATAACTTCACGTTTGAGCTTGCTACAGAAACAGAAGCATAAACCTAACACTGGCCAAATTTATCACACCATCAGAATTCTTAGTGCTAATCCCCCAAACGTTTCATTTGGCTTTATGTAGTTTATGTGAACAGTGTAACTTGAGTCTTACAAGTCCCAGCCTGATGAAGAAGAGAGTCCAAATGTTTTACTTCCTAACACACCCCTTCACCACAGTCAACAAGTTACCTGGTGAAGGGAGCAGGCGTCAAAGCAAATGCTTCACATTGGCCTCTGCAAGACATGCTGATGTCCCGTTAGCTTCCTGCAAGCCCTGATGTCAATGTGTAAGCATTCAGCTTCCAGTGCATCCCCATTCCTAGCTACAGTGATTTAAAGATAACTTAGAGTTGTCAACAGGCAATCTTACCTTGTATTTCTCATTTGCAAATAATACAGAAGCTCTATGGAATTTGCATAGTGGGTTCTTGGGGTCAATGTTAATAGCTTTGTTTAAAGTATCCAAAGCCTTCTCAGATTTTTTCAGTGCATGCTGGACCTGTTACACAAAGGGAGAACAAGTTTCAAGGGGAAAATAACAGCTCATCTGCCAGACAAAACCAAATCCATTGGACTACAGGTACCTACAATCTGCTGCTTTAATAAAGATTTGTCCAATTCCAGACCAAGTCTTAACAGGCTTTCTCACAGGAAAACTTCACCTCGCCTCATCTCCACCTCAAAACCTTCTCCCTACCCAATGGGTCACAGAAATCACTGAACCTTTGGCCAGAAGTGGACTCAATGCCTTTCTTTGTATGTAAGTGAGAAGCAGGCACTGTCCCTGCATTACCTGACACAGCTTCGCTGCCACACAGAAAGCAAATCAATGCCAGCAGGGACCCATCCATCACACACAGCCTCAAGTCACCATCACAAGTATCTGAGAACTTCTCCACTTGTGAGGATGAGGCCACTGTTTCCCAAGGACTGCAGCAACAAATGGATAAATGACCAACTTCTCAAGCAGCCCTATAAATGAAATTGCACTGATGGGCTGAAGGAGCTGCCTGCTACTTGAACTTCATTTGGCATAAAGTGGCCTAAGGAAGAAGTTGTCACACCTACACAGTGATGCGAATGAGGGCAGTGCGGACACATAACCAGGACAAAAATACTGCACTGTGAAAGGTGAGATGGGTGCTTCAGCATTTTGTAGGAATGGGAATGCTTGGTTTCTTATGTACTGAGTATAAAAGCCCCCCATATAAATGGTCTGTTCACATTAACATCTGCACACAGTCCTGATTTTTGGATCACTACTGCTTTGGCAGACTCACAAACATGACCTGAGAGCATAATTTCACGACTGGCTAAAAGGAGTTTGAAAAGGAGAAGTGTCTCTCTTCTGACACATTAATCCTGTGGCTATTCATTTGTTTAGCACTTAAGATCCTCCCATAGGTACTCTGAACCTGGTGGGTTTTGATAAAAACATTCAGAGTGACTTTACTCAAACAAAGCACAGAAGCAGATTAAAACACAAGGAGAGAGTTAAGTGCAATCTACTTACTACTCCAATGTGACACAGTAAGACTGAGCTCTGAGGATTGATATCAAGTGCTTTCTGGAAATGCATTTCCGCCAGACTGAATTTTTCCTGCTTGTAATAAATCATCCCCAACCCGTACCTGCAAGCAGAGAAACAGCTCTCTCAGTAAGGCTGCATTCTAATTAAACCAGGCTTTGTCAATAGCACCTGGCAGACAGATTTGCCAACCACATCCAGGGTGGGAAATGATTTCTTGGGGGGAAAAAAGCTACATCTAAAATGATCTTGGGTCTTTTTGTTCAGTTGGATAGTGTGCATAATTGGTATCTGATACACAGGAAGAACGGCTCAACAGCTACAAAGTGAAAAGCATACAAGGTTCTCAAGATTAAGTGACTTACACCAGCAGATCTAACTTTCATTGCTTTATACATACACAGAAAAAGCTGGAAGAAACTAACTGTGTCCTATGGTGTAATGGGACAGATCTCTCATCTCTCCAGCTGGAAGTGAGGAACAATCAAGTAGAGTGATGAGAAGTGCTGCCCAGAACAAAACAGCTGGGGTAACACAGCCAAGATTTGCAGAAACAAGAAAACATCCTTCAGCATCCAGCAGATATTTCTCCAAAAGGAACTCTGCAACACATGCAATAGGAGGGAGGTGAAGCCAAACTTACCATGCATTATAGTGTCTAGGGTTGACTCTGATTGCATTTCTGAAACAAGCTAATGCTTTGTCTAGTTCTTCTGTTAACACAAATTCATGCCCCAGCAGGGTGTAGGCGTAAGCATAGTTTGGATCAACTTGGATGGCTCTCTGGAAGAACTTGATTGCAATGTCATGCTCTCGTTGCAAGCTGAAACAGTTTCCTGCAGCACACCATGCCTAGTAAAGACAGCATTGCAAAATTAGCACACTTCTTACAACCCACATGAACGATGTTTGCGCTGAACAGATTTGTTTCCATGCTGCTTTACGTGATTGTACTAACTTCCTCCTA